TTTAATTTTTTTTTGTTTTAATTTACCGAATGGACATCAATTATTAATATATAACAGAACGTATGAACCAGAAGGCTTACGGTCCCGCGCCATTGAGCTATCATCAATGGACGATCTTGTTAACAAGAACAATCAGCCGAAAATACAAAATCCGATATCAAGTTTCCTCGCTAAGGAGCACCAAGCACTGCTTTTCTTTCGAAGAGGTAGTTGTTTTTTATAATTTGTTTGTATATTTTTTGTATATAAATTTACAGGTGTATATAATAATTGCCAGTGTATTTAAGAAGTGTTTTCTTTGTTTCGTAGCGGAGTATTTTCCGAATCATTTGTTTGATTTTTCTTATTCCATGGTTGCTCTTCACCTGATCCGAGAATGATATACACCAAGAATTCGATAACAAATAAAACCATAGTAACAAAAAATATTATCCGCCAAGCAGCAATTGTTTGCTATAAAAAGATTTTTTCAATCTTTTATACATATTTTTATAATTATATACTTGGAACTTACATTTCCTTTCGTTATAAAGCCTACAAAGATGGGTACAATTATGCCGGGCAACGTTGCTACAGTATTGGTTAAAGCCACCAAAGTGCCGGCAAAGTTTGGAGCTATATCAATATGATTAGAAAGGAAACCCGAGAACATGGCACCCATAGATACAATACCAATAGTCATAATGGCAACAGCCCAGGCATGTCGGCATCCTATATAGCATAGGATTAATAAGCATAACATAGGTATAGCTGAAGCAATAGTGGTGGAAATTTTACGAGCCGCTGTCGTAGTAATTTTTTCTGTAAGATTAATTGAAGAAATTTCATGTGCATTCATATTCTTCTTCTTCTTCTTCTTCTACGTCTTCCTATTATTATCATATATTATTTTCAATATATCACAATATTTACCTTTCGCTTTGAGTGTGTCTAAGATTTTGCCTAGCATTATGCTAAAAATTAATAGAGGGAAATAAGGCATAGCACTAGCCATAGCATTACTGGTTACGTTTAAGGCCAAGACTTGTTTCATATAAAACGGTATCTCAATCAAGAACATATACCAGCCCCAATTACTGCAGCAGTGCGCTATTAAAATGGCCCAAAATGGTATCGATGTTAGGACTTGGTTCCATGGTGTCGGTGGATGACCTTCTTTGGCATTTTCTTTGCTCTGACCCAGGGAGCTATTAATCATTTCTCTTTCATCAGCAGTGATAAAACGCTGTTCATTAGGGTTATCTTGAACAAAACAAATCCATAAAATCATCCATATACAGCTAAGACCACCCATAACATAGAAAATTGACTCCCAGCCAAAATTATCGGATAGAAATCCCGCCATAAGTATAGAGACCGCTGTACCAAATGATGTGCCTACGTATATAATTGTAGACATAATTGATCTTTCATTAGGGGGTGACCAAGCGGCGATCATACAATGCATAGCCGGAAAAGTGACGCCACCACCGATGCCCTCCAAAACACGCATAAAAATTAAACCCACGTAATGGACTTTAGTAAATATAGGAGTCAAGATGGTACAAAAACCATTTATTGCTACGGCTGTCAACATGACCCATTTTGCCGAAAAATTTTCAGCTATTCGTGCCCCCGGAATTTGAGATATCAAATAACCCCAGAAGTAGCAGCTTAGTAGAGTTCCTTGCAAAGGACCGCTCCAATCGAAAGGACCATCCTGCAAGTGTAACTTGAAACTTTTTAAACTTTTATAATAGCCTTAATATCTATACCTCCAATATGGCAATATAATCGTCGGTATCGCCGTCTGGTGGTTGACATTTTTCAACAGGTTTCGCAAAATTATCATTTATGTTATGTGAAAGATCAACATTGTCATTTCTGATTGCAGTATGATTAAGCATTGCCACCATGGCTACACTTAAATTCACCTTTAGGCCATAAATAATGGCCATTCCTATGGAGCCTAATACTGCTAATACGTAACGAGCTGGAAGGCATTCTGTAATAAAAAGCAAAAACCAAAACAATGATGCTTATTATTATAGACTTAAATTCTCATTGCAAATAAGAGCTAGTGACGATCAACAGAGTACGTATATAGACCACGTGCGCCTTCTAAAAAATGCTGCTTTTTATACCCTACACCGCTTGTGGTAGAAGGAAGAATTTGAGATACATCCACCTTTTTTTATATCGATCGATTCAGAGTCACTTTCCCATTTGATTTGAGCCTGTCTGTCCCGCCGTCCGTTTTGTTCCCTTTCGTTCAACGCAGAGTCCACAATTTTTAAGGTATTTTGATGATATTTGATACACTGATTTATTTTGGACCAAGGACAAACGCCATTGAAAATGATTGGGATCGGACCACTTTTTCGACCACTTCTCATACAACGGATTACTTTGCAAACTTGTTATATGAATAATTGTAAAATATTTAATAATTTTTACTTGCTTTGTGCTATTAAAAGTATCAAGATTTAATGGTTTGTTGCATATAGTCGGAGCGAGATCCTTGATTTTTGAGTCCAGTTTCTTCAGGAGAGACCGATTACTTTGATGATAAAGGGCGATTAAAGGTTCAAATTTCCGTTGGAGAGATTAAATATTTCTTTGCATGACAAAAATGAAGAAGAAGAGGTCGTCTTTTCTCGAATCTTTCATACCCACATCTTTAAGAAAAATTTAAAAAAAGAACGAAAAGACACAAGAAAAAGAAATTTTAATACTCTATAATATTGGTTGAGGCCGACCGGATTTTCCCCACTACTATTCAGGTACTATAATACATTGTAAGATCACCCATAGAACATATTAGCTCAAAGCCAAGGCAGGTTTTACTTTGCTACTAACTACTAAGAACTGTCATGCGACGCGGCTAGATCAACGCTACTGATATTGATAAGAAATGTATACTATTTTCAGGTTCTCTGGAGCTTCTTTACAGATGATGCTAATATTTTCACATTTTCAGGTATACTACAACCTCTCGATGGTGACTGCAGAAAATGTTATCAAGGTTATATAGGACTTTAGCAAGAGGACAGCGGTGATGGCACTTTCTCAAGATAAATTCCATAAAGCTATTAAGAATAAAATATAACTAGTCGGTCTAGTCTTATAAAAGAAAATTTATCGAAAAAAGTAGACCGAGTTGTCTTCAAGCGCGCCTTACCACCTGTATGAGCGATATTGATGTGAAATCTTGTAAAAATATTTTCCATATAATATCCCAGTACAATTATTTCAAATGGTAAGTTACAAGTTTGAGGGGGCAGACTATGGAGAGGTTTTTCGAAGGTGTTCGCGATATTATGGTAAGAAGTGCCAGGCACGTTATCTTCCTCCAAAGAGTGTAAGCGCACTTCATGCTAATGAATAGACTGGAAAGGAAGCTCACCAGCTAATCACTGATTATGGAGTCATCAAAAGAATTTTGAAAAAAAATTTAGATGATACTTGAAATAATTATTAAAAGTGCATCCATAACTAAGTAACGTATTAACATGAATGCATCAGTTTGTGCTTTGTATATAAAACACGATTATGTAAATCTTAAATTTGAAACAATTTGATAGAAGAATTTTTATGAATTGTACTAAAGAAATCATATACCGCAATACCTTATATAATCGCTCACACTAAGATACTTAAAATTCAACTCAAAGTAGGTTTGTCGCATATTAAAGTTCTTTCACTTAGACATTAGTTATACAGTAAACTAGGGATTTATATTTTGGGTATAAGTTTTATTAACACTTTTAAGTTCATATAATGACTTTTCAAAATAAACCGTGAGGTAGGGAAGTGATCGAAAAAGTGGTCCATTTCAATAGCGTTTTGATTTCAAATTTCAACAAAATATCTCCAAAGTTGCGATAAGTAGGTTGAACATAAGAAAAAATGGATGGACTGACAGACAGACAAGCTTAGATTGATACAGAAAGTGATTTAGAATGATTCTATTGAGTGCTGCATGCGTTTACATAAACTCAATACACTCTTGTACGACAAGTTGTGTAAGAGCCTGACTAAAAGGATAATGTATTTCTCTATTCTTAATAGTGTGCCTACGCGGGTCAAAAACTCGAAATTTCATTAAAACATCTGGAAAGCAAGAATATATGGACACATATGCGAAGGACAGGTGGACAGACAAACAGATGAACTTAGATCGGTATAAAAAAAGATAGTGCCACTATCTCAAGTGCTTCTCTGCGCAAGTTTAATCTTCCCTTCAAGGAATGTAATGGGGTCACTTTTGAACCCGATCACAACTGAAGCGCCAAAGAGATTATAATTAAAAAAAACTTTTTGAATTTTCAAGTAAAGATTAACTATATATGTTAACAGATATATACCGTATGTTGAAATTTTTATTATGCCTTAAATATTTTCGATGCATTTTTCATTTACGCAAGAAAAAAAGAAAAAGAGTTCCAGCGGTTAAAAAATATGTTTTTTTTTTTTTTTTTTATTCAAAACAATTAAAAATTCTCTGTATGACTTTTAAATAACCTTTC